TGCGTGCGTGCGTGCGTGCGTGCGTGCGTGCGTGTGTGTGTGTGTGTGTGTGAGTGGAAGTGATAAGGTGATGTTTATGTGTGCCCATGTGCATGATGGGCACTTTGCAGTAACACAGTAAAAAACACTGGCTCTTAGTCTCTGACTGGTTGGCCATCCCTGTTCTTGCTCATTTCTGAATTCAATGGTAATACAAACATCTAGCTTTGTAAAGCATATCTTTCACCAAAGGGGGGTTTGGAGTTAAACCTGTCGCTAGTCTGCTTCAAATGCTTTATTTTCTGCTCTCTAGTTTGCCCTCAAACATTGCTGCGGGTTTTCATATTTGTAAAAATGCATGAATATTGATTGAGCCCTTGGCGTTTCGGTCTCAGTTCAAATTGAAAGAGTTGGATTTAATGAACCCCGCCGACTGCATCTAAACCGCGAGGCTTTCTCACTCAAACCAATTCTCAATGGTGAAATAAATTGTAAATGGCCACTCGTGTGCACATTTATTTGTCGGCATTTGTTGGGCCGCCACAACAATATGGCAGCAAAAATGTCAAGCTGTGCACGACAAGCGCTGAGGCAATCCGTTGCTTTTCTCAGCCTGCTGGATTTATCGAAGCAGATGTACAATTGGTGGCAGAAAGCCTTCTGTGGAAATGACACATCAATCCTTAATTAGCGTTGAGATACGCGAGTTGTATTCTACCGACCCAATTGAGTTTGCTTGTGAGCTTCAGCTCGCTCGTCTCTTGTTTAATCACAAGCAAACAGGCAACCCCCGTGGGAAATTTGTAGTGAAATTAGCCTGAGATTGATAGCGGCTGTTGTTCGGAATCACTTGACTCTTGAGTCATGAGTCTGGTGTGTGCCCCTCGACATTGATCCCGTGCCCCGTGCAAACCAGGTTGTGGTAATGTATTTATATCTTCAAATCAATAAACAAATTAACTTTATCACGCAGATGGGAATGGAAATAGTATGAAATGTAGCAGAATGCAAAATGGCTAATGAGTAGTGTGAAAATGAACAGCCAGCCATCGGACAAGTAGTTTGGATTTATTTCACTTGTATTATACAGTTCACTTCTCCTTACAACGTTATGACAAATGGGAATGTCAAAATGTTACTTATTGTTCCTGCAGATTTATTAAAGGTTTTATAAGAGCATATTTTTTTTCCTGTCTGCGGCAAATTAATTCACTTTAAATTATTTCCTATGGCGGAAAAATACATTAGAAGAGCTTGCAGCATTACTAAAGATTATTCTTGACATTGGAGGTTCCACTGCAAATAAAATATTATCAAGGTTAAATGGGTCTGAGGTAATTAAGTTATTATAAATAGTCCAAAAAATAAAATAAAATATAAAATTTGACATATTCAATGAACAAAAATGAATTAAGTCAAGACAAGTCACATTTATTTGTATAGCCCTTAATCACAAACAGTCTCAAAGGGCTTCACATGCCCACAGTTGACAAGTATTCATGACATCCCCTGACCTTAACCCCCAGGAGGGTAAGGAAAAACTAAAAAAAAAACAAAAAACATCTGGGGTCAAAACGAGAAACCTTGAGAAGGGGGTGCAGATGGGGGAATCCCCCTTCCAGGATGACCAGGCTGCAACGGGTACAAGGATTTGACACAATATTGTACCATACAATGTTAATTACAATATAACATCCATTTAACAAGATGAAAATGCTACAGGGAGACGCCTTCGGAGAGGTGGCTCCCCTTCTGAACCTGGCCAAGTTGGTCAATGAAGAAATCTTCATAGCAGTGCCTCAGAGTGGTCGACCCAGCTCTTGTCCAGCTCACTCGGTGCAAATCACGTCCTTATCGATTAGAGCAGAATTCGTGCATCGACATCCAATTGGGTCATCATCACATAGCCCCTTCTCCAGATCAGGGACGGGGGGTGAAGGACAAACAGAGGAAGTGGCAGTACAAACAGGCCAACACATAGTTCAACAAAGTGCAAGAGTATACAAATGAGTCTTAAGTTGGGTTTTAAACATTTCAACTGAGTCAGCTGCTCTGATTTCAGTGGGTAGGGCATTCTAGGACACTGGAGCCCAAATAGAAAAAGCTCTAGAACCTGTGGGTTTATTGTTTGTTGCTCTGAACACTAAAAGACCAGCGTGTTGTGAACGAAGAGTTCGGGGCGGATCATACAGTGTCACGAAGTCACCAGGAGATAAAATGGGACGCATTTTAGTGATATTGTGAAGGTGAAAAAAAATGCAGTTCTAGTTATATTGTGCATTTGAGAAGAGAGCATTGAATTAAATATAACACAGAGATTTTTTTGCTGAATCATTTTGGTGTAATTGTATATTTATCGAGGCTGAGAGTAGTGTCCTTGAATAGGTGCCGAGGCCGAGCAGGGCCAATAATCATCATCACAGTTTTATCGGGGTGAAGAGGCAAAAAATTAAAAGTCATCCATTGTTTAATCTCAGCAAGGCACGCCTTGAGATTACAGCAACTGCGTGGGTTAGTTATTTATACAGTAGTACCATTCCAATTGAGGTTGCTAGCCCCCAGGTTAAGTACCAAATCTATTGTGTCATCATTTTTATGGGTGACTTCGTCTTTCTTTTATCTGCGTGAAAACAAAAGCATCGATTATTGTCTGATGCCCCGAAAGAGGTTTCGTTGGGAGATTCAAATGATTATCAACCCTTTCAGGGACACTGTCTACTACAGTGGACAGTTTACCATGTTATCAGGTTATAGGGCGTATGAAAGGGTTAAAGTCACCCGTTATTGGTACAGTATATTATTTCCCTGAATCACCAAGTCATATTAACAATATATTATTTTTATTGAAAAATATTGATTTTATTTGCTTTTTTTTTTTTTTTTTTTTTTTTTAACCTGATCTATGAATAACTTGATGCATCTGTTAAAAACTGTCCACCTATGGAATACACGCCGATTTGTGATACAACTCCATGTTGTGCACTTAATTGACTCTTTTTTTTTGTTTGTTTCCTTTCCTGCAGATTTACACACGCTATGGGAAATGCTACACTTTCAACTCGGGACTAGACGGCAACCCTTTGTTGACCACCTTGAAAGGAGGCACGGGGAACGGCTTGGAGATCATGCTGGACATTCAGCAGGATGAATACCTTCCTGTCTGGGGGGAGACAGGTTAGTGCACTTTATGAGTCATTATAAGTGGCTGGGAAAAGATCGATACTCGTATACATGGTTGTATAACACACCTCCATCCACCAAATGAATCTTTGTTTCGTGACCGTATTTTCAACATACTAAATTTATAAGGAAAAATGAACTAATATTAAGAGCATGTATTTTGCACCTACGCACATATTTTGTCCAAATTTCAACATCTGGTTCGGAAGTGCATTAGGAAGTGTTGTCCCCCCCCGCCCCTTCAGGATTTAACCCTTTCATGCACCCTGTAACCTGATAGCATGATAAGCTGTCCACTGTAGTAACCGCTGTCCCTGAAAGGGTTAAGTTGGCCATCTCGGGCCGATGAATTGAAATAAGTCAAATAAGTTTGATAAATAAGTTTTGATCTTATGGGAAAATGCACTTTTTTTTTTGGGGGGGGTTGTTTTTTTTTTTTTAGGGTGGCACCTATATGTCTGAAATGTCTCTTAGAGGGACGGCATCTATTTGAGGACTACGGTCGGTGTTACATCGCCTCCACAAGATATGTTGCCAACAAACAAGACAAAAGGGGCCCAACATTGTATAAATAATGCAAAATTGAACATGCAGCAGGTTCTTATACATTGATTGAACACCCCCACTAGGCTGCACATATTCCTTAACTGCATGTCATAAATCTAACGTGAACTTGGCTTTCAGCGTGGTGTTCTGCACCACTCAGCATCCCTGCCAGTGGAAGGAGAGAGGAAAAAGAAAAACAATTCCACAAAAAAATAATGTTCCCGCAGGCTACTTTGGCCTGATAAAGGTGTGGCGTGCTGTATATACTGTATATCCACAGATGAGACCTCCTACGAAGCGGGGATCAAGGTTCAGATCCACAGCCAGGACGAGCCACCCTTCATTGACCAGCTGGGATTTGGCGTGGCCCCTGGTTTTCAAACTTTTGTGTCATGTCAGCAACAACTGGTACCCCCATTGTTACCACATTCACACTCGTCGTGCCACTACCCCCCCCCCCCCCCCCCCCCCCCCCCCCCCCCCCCCCCCCCCCCCCCCCCCCCCCCCCCCCCCCCCCCCCCCCCCCCCCCTCCCCCCCCCCCCCCCCGCCCCGGCTTCACTTCACGTGTTTGCCCCGCAAAGTCCCCGCTCAATTCCTTGCCATGCTGTCATCGCCTCCTCAGAGCAAAATCTGATCAAAAAAACATCTCCGTGGAAATGGAGTGCTTCCAATTTAATGGACCTCATCCTCACTTTGAAAAGCTACTCGGTACTCTAGTTATGCTCGGATTTTTCATCTCTATTTTTAGTCAGCAGAACGAGTTTTGAGTGCAAGAAAACGGGAGTAAAAATAAATAAAAGAAATTCACTGAACGCGGTCAGCCAGATGAAGGATCAAATGTCGTTTTCTAAATATAAAGCTCACAAACCAGCCTAAATCAGCACTCACTTCAGAGCGATTGTTTTGACAAGGGTTTTTTTTTTGTTTGTTTTTGTTTAGCTTTAATCAGCACTTCATGTCATGGCTTTTCGTACCATAAAACCTTTAATAAACAGGTCAAAGACACATGACTGTCTTGGCTTCAAGTATTGATACCCACCAGGTTTTTTTTTTTTGCTTGTTTTTGTTTAGCTTTAATCAGCACTTCATGGCTTTTCGTACCATAAAAGCTTTAATAAAGAGGTCAAAGACACATGACTATCTTGGCTTCAAGTATTGACACCCACCAGGCCACCACACACTCAAGTGTCTTGTTATGCCAATACATCGATTCTAAAGCAGTTGTTTTCTCGGATTTTTCATCTCTATTTTTAGTCAGCAGAACGAGTTTTGAGTGCAAGAAAACGGGAGTAAAAATAAATAAAAGAAATTCACTGAACGCGGTCAGCCAGATGAAGGATCAAATGTCGTTTTCTAAATATAAAGCTCACAAACCAGCCTAAATCAGCACTCACTTCAGAGCGATTGTTTTGACAAGGGTTTTTTTTTTGTTTGTTTTTGTTTAGCTTTAATCAGCACTTCATGTCATGGCTTTTCGTACCATAAAACCTTTAATAAACAGGTCAAAGACACATGACTGTCTTGGCTTCAAGTATTGATACCCACCAGGCCACACACTCAAGTGTCTTGTTATGCCAATACATCGATTCTAAAGCAATTGTTTGACAACATAATCTTGCGATTCAAGAAATCAACACTCGCAAAGGCATTTTTTGAGCTGAGCTTCTGTTCTGACTCCAAAAATGAACAACACAGGGCTTTTTTAAAAAATGTAAGATGTGCTTTAATTAATTCTCAGGAAAGCATAGATTGTTTTGACCACCTGAATTTGTGAGAGAGAAATTCAAAGTAGGACTTTATCTGTTCAAGTGTCTTGTTATGCCAATACATCGATTCTAAAGCAGTTGTTTTGACAACATAATCGTGCGATTCAAGAAATCAACACTCACAAAGGCATTTTTTGAGCTGAGCTTCTGTTCTGACCCCAAAAATGAACGACACAGGGCTTTTTTAAAAAATGTAAAATGTGCTTTAATTAATTCTCAGGAAAGCATTGATTGTTTTGACCACCTGAATTTGCGAGAGAGAAATTCAAAGTAGGACTTTATCTGTTCTAGGCTCAAGTTGTCATAAAAATTTTGATATAAAGGACGCTAGACACGCAACGGTCTTGTGGTCTGGTATCAAGACCCATGCCGACATGTGAATGAGAAATTAAAAGTGCCACACATAGACACGTAACTGTGTCTATTCAAGCATAGAGACCCACAAGGCCACATGTGTGGGAGTCTGTTTGTGATGTTTAACTGAAAAAAGAAAAGAGTAGAAGAAATAAATGTAAAAAAAAAAAAAAAATGCTTTGACGATGAAATGAAAAGTGAATGAATGTTTTCCAAGGTGGAAGGTCCCAAAGATACATCATGGTCCTGTGTCCTGGTCCGGACGCACGAGGCCACACACTCGGGTGTCGGGTTGTAATTCCAACACATAAAGGCAAAGGAGAAGAAATACTTTTGTTTTTTTCTTTTTTTTTAATGAGTTTTAACAAGCACATCTTCCGTGGCATCATTCAAAGCGCCTCGGGCTGTTTGTATCAGACTTGACAGACTTATGAAACCATGGCATTTCATATTGAATTTGACCATAAAATCCAGTGACAACTGCCTTCAAAAACATTCTATTACCCGGCGACACGCTCGTGACAGAAAACAACATTTCAGTCTTTCACGGGCCTTTCAGCGCTGTTGGCAAAAGATGAAAAATGGCTTTGCGCAAATGACAAACGCTATCTGTCAGCTTGCCACTCTCTGACTTCAGCAGTCATTCATTTTAACAGAAGAATTTATTGTGTCACGTTTCGTACGCGATCGCTAACACAGTGTTTGCTCGCCCTCGCAAGCTGTTACTTTCCCAATTGATTTTGCTCCTGAAGAGAACTGTCTGTCCTGGCCAAAACCATGAGCATGGAATACAACGACCTTGTTTTGTTTCAGCAGAATAACATGGGATGACCGAGGCGGTCTTATGACAGACACCTGGACACCACAAACATGGGAACACGGTCCCATTGCTTTACTTTCGTTCAAAAAACACTCAGCCATTTGCAGGTATAATATAATGTGTGCTATTAATGATCCGAAAGTCAAAAAATAAGCACACGGGAATTGCCATTTTCAATTAAGCCCAACAACAGCCCCATGCACCAGTTCAGTCTAAAAGAATAAGAAAACCTTTATTCGTCTCACAATGGAGAAATTCCCAATTTACAGCAGCAAAGTTATGAAAGGAAGAAAGTAGATGAACAAAAAGTATAGGAGCTGCTGTAAAGGCAGCCACTCTGGCGGCGTTGATTGCTGAAAAGATTTGCCTCATTCATTATGCGGTTGGCATTCGTGTCTCATCCGAAATAACAGATGGATGGTGAAGCGCTTTTGATGTGAAGGTACTATTTGTTCAAATGGTGTCATTTTAAATCACTTGAGAGCATGTCACCAAAACATCATCACTCCATGCAACAGTTGAGATGGTTTGGAAATCAATTACAGACAATGTTAAAGTTAGCTGTAATTGTTACAAATGGTTATGTTAGTGGCATTTGGGAAAGAAAAAAAAAAAAGATGTGCTGTGGCTGATGTGTGTGCATGTTTTTTTTTTCTTTCAGGGAAAATTGCAAATTAATTCCACGGTCAAATTACCAGCATCATTTAACTTAAGTAGTTTTTTGTTTTTTTATTAAGGAATGTTTCTGATAAAATCTCATTCCGATAACTGTTCATCCTCCAAGTCTTGTTGACTTTTGTAAGGAATGTTTCTGATAAAATCTCATTCCGATAACTTCATCCTCCAAGTCTTGTTGACCTTTGGGGTGTGTTTTTCCCCAAAAATCTAAGATTGTACCACTGATGTGATGGAAAATAAATGGCTGAGTGACACGTCAATAACACAATGATAGCGTTTCTCAGGTGGCCGGAAGTTGGTTCTTGTTTCAGTATCATGCTTAGCAGGCTGCCTCGCCTTCTGGAGAAGGCGGAGGCGTGAGAGTCTCGCCTCTTTCGATCTCTTGCCTGGTCTTTTAACCGTTTTACTGTTAATGACGTGGGCTGTGTGTTCCCTCGCCTAGATGAGACGTCTTATGAGGCCGGCATAAAGGTACAGCTTCACGCTCAGTCAGAGCCTCCTTTCCTCCACCAGCTGGGCTTCGGGGTGGCCCCGGGCTTCCAAACCTTTGTTTCCACCCAAGAGCAGAGGGTAGCGTACAGTACAGTATGTTTGTCTGGGCTTGCTGCATGCCACAATGTCCACTGTAGCTCATCCGTCGGTGCCCTAAACCCCCCCAACCCCCTCCTCCACTCCACCGTCCCTGGGGAGTAAAGTCATCTGTTCCTTTTACTTTACTGTACGTGTGGTTGTGGCAAACAACATGCAACGTCTGCATTGCCTCCCCTGTTGACTGGATATTGATGAACATTTCAGCTTTAGCCGTTTATCCCAACTGGCTCCGCATTTGTTCAGCTTTCGTGTGTCTTAGCTTGTTGTCCACCAAATAGCTCCCCTTTTAATGTGTTCTTAATGGGACAGTGTCATGCTGTTCATTAGATTGTATTGGCCGTGACTACCCTGGCATCAGTTCAGAATCGAACTTACACTGGGTGTGGGTTTTCTTTCGAGCTAGATGGTATTTGCTTGGTTGGTAATCATCCTTCATCCGAATTGCAAGGCAGCGACAGAGAGCCCGATTGCTCTTAAAGTTTATCTAATTTTATGAAAAATGTGATGTAACATCTCAGGCCATTTTGGTCATTTCCAACTATCCTTCAAAAAAAAAAAACATATCAATTTTGACCAATTGCTACATTCTCGGAACCACTTAGACAAACAGATGGACAATACAACATTCTCAAACATTTTAGTTATTGTTCTTCTGTGTGAGCGGAGCATGGCGACGAAGTGCTGGCTCGCCATAAAACACAAACAAGTTCTTTACTTGTATTTGGAAACTCTGCAACCAAAGCAAGTTTCAGTAAACATCAAATTTTGTAGGCATATGTCTCATTAGTACACCCACAAAAACATCTCAAAAAATGCTTGAGAAGACACAGGGGGTTTGCCATTTTGTTTTGAAGCAACCAATTCAGGGTAATTTTCCATACAACCTTCAAAGACAATTTTGTCTTTCGGACACTGTCCAATTAAAACCAAATGGAATCACCTATGCCATAGGTGTCAAACTCAAGGCCCGGGGGCTAGATCTGGCCCGCCACATCATTTTATGTAGCCCGTGAAAGAAAATCAAACATGTCAAGTTCTATGATAACTGCTAAAATCTGGACCAAAATAAGAGATATATTGTTTGCATTTTTTTGTTACCAAACCCCTAATTACAGTAGTTGACTTCTTTATATGGTTTGACGGCCGTATCGGCCCTCCAAGGGAAACGGTCATTACAATGTGGCCCGTGACAAAAATGAGTTTGATACCCCTGACCTATACTGAACAGATGGAGGCCATAAAATTGAAAGAAATAAAATCGAATTTTTTTCATTGCATGTGAGTGCAACATGGCAGCAAAGTTTTTTTTGACTTGGGATAAAACATGAATGAATTAACAATAAAAATAATTAAAAAATTAAGCCCCGAAAACACAGTTTCACATACACACATTCAATTCAGTAAGCATCTCAATCATGAGTAAACCCACAAAAAAAAAAGTCTCAAAACCCATGTCGGAAAAGACGCAGGAAATCTACCATTTTATTAGCCAATTTAGGGTCATTTTTGCCATTTGCAGACGTCCTTCAAAGCAAACGACGGTTACAGATTCTGCCTGATTACTATCAAATGTGACAGATTGATGGCAGATGTTGAACAATTCGAGTTTTTGGCATTGCTTGATAACCGCCCGTAGAACACAAAACACTCAGCACCGTAGATTCCCCACCCTTGAGGTACTGCGACATTGTAATCGGCATCCATATGCTCAGATCCTAAAGGATACATGGTCTGTGTCGAAGAGCGCTTCATTTTTTTTTTTTTAGACGAAAACAGATTGCCATATATTTTGTAGAGGCGGTATTCATATAGCTGTTTTACAACCGTCAATGTGTCCAAATAAACAGCCATCATCGGTGAGTCGGGATTTTAAAATTCCTTGAAATCTAAGTGATGGATTGCACTTCAGTGTTAATGGTAGTTTTACCTCTGAGACTGTTCGGGAGGAGGCGGCACACTCATTGTTTAATGCCTTGTGTTGGGAAATCTAATCTAGCGAGGTAGCGTGATAAGGTTTAATGGTGAAAGAGATTGAGTTGTTCGCATACATCTTAAAATGGATTTACATGGGTTTTGTGTGATGCCTGTCAAGTGAAACACTCATGTACCGGAATAAAACTGTGCGCTGCTCTCTCTCTGGATTTTATGTATGATATTTATTTATTTTTCAAGAAATTCGTCTTCTGGTTGTGGTGTCCAGTGTGAGCCAGTCTATTCCCATGGTACCCTGCTACCCCCTACTACGAGACTAGACCTGCATCCCTAATGTTCTGCATGACGTCTGCTTGCTGCCGATGGGAAATGTCGGTGTGACCAAAAATTGTGTTGTTGGTTTTTTTGTCTTCTTTTTGGACCGTGTGTTGGGTTTTAAAAGCCTGTCGATGTTGTTGATTTGTACTTGAAAAGTTTTGCTTGCTATAATCCGGTAAAACAATGCACTTCTTTTTTCTCAGCTTCAGTACCTCCCTCCGCCTTGGGGAGACTGTAAGTCGACTCCCATCGACTCGGAGTACTTCTCCACGTACAGCATCACCGCCTGCCGCATTGACTGTGAAACTCGTTATCTGCTGGAAAATTGCAACTGCAGAATGGTCCACATGCCAGGTACGCAGTCGGAAAAAAAAACATTTGTGCCTCGTGTGTCAAGTCGGGTGTAATTGTGATATGATTTGAACACAGGGACCTCCACTGTGTGCACACCTGAACAGTACAAAGACTGCGCTGACCCAGCCTTAGGTGAGCACACGCTGCACCACAAGATTCACAAGTCCTGGTGGATCAGCTTGTGTCTGCTCTGTAACGTCACAGTTTTGTAACGTTTAGAATTACTTCAAACGAGTAAAGGGAATGTTTAGTGATGCGCTGTAGTTTCTCAAATAGTGGTCTCAACTGCAAGATGTTTGAGAGAGAAAATAGAGAGTAGAAAATTAATAATCTGCTGTAAACAATTACACATGGCCACTTTTTTAGTGCCTTTATTTTCGGACAGTCTGTGTGCAGTCTCTGTGTCTTTAGCTTTGTACACTCCGTTCTGAGCCTCATCCAAAAGCAAAGAAGCACTTCACACGCTCTGTGATTGGAGTGAGAAAGAAACGGCCACAAGCTTTCACCTGCAGCTTGTTAAGGAAAACCAAAAAAAAAAAAAAAGGCACAGCGTGAGATACGGAAACATTTTGCTTAAACGGCCGACGGTCAGGGCTGCTACCCAAAAATTTCTATAGACTAAGTCTGTCAAGCCTGACATAGAGGAGGCAACTCTTCCAACATAGTAAGGTCAAACAGACCACTGAGTGGCATCCCCAGGAATTCAAAGAGCCACATCTTAGCCAATGTGACACATTTCTTATGACTTAAACTTCAAATCAAAGGCTAAGGAATGTGAATTATTTTATGACAAGCAAACATGTGCCTCATTGTTTGCAATTCACACGGCCAAATCAATAGTCTTTGCCGATGAGCCGAGTCAAGCGTTCAGCCACCAACTAAGAGTCGTTATTCTGTTATTAAAACACACTCTTGTCAATAAAGTTGGGACTGTTATGTTTCCTCTAAAATATGTCAAATGTAATTCTGGATACTATCATTGTTGATAATTATGGTGAGAAATCTTTTCACATGACCAGTGGTCTTTTAAGTCACAGCTTCCATTGCAGCGGAGGCCATTATTTGAGGAAACTGTGCATTTACTGTATGTGTCTTGATCTCAAATGAAAAGCCCACAAAGCTCCCTTTCCCACTCAAAAAGCTCCCGCTCCATTCCTGGGTACGGTACTTTAGCTTCAGTCATTATTTGCTTTCATGGAAAGTGAACGATGGCAGCAACTGCAATTCTTCTGATGTTTGCTGAGATATTTTTGGCGCAAAGCGCGCATAGTGTGCAGCATTGTTTCTCCGCAGCGATCCCAACATGTTTGACGGACTTTGATCATCCACAGACTTTTTGGTAGAGAAAGACAACGATTACTGTGTGTGTCAGACCCCCTGCAACATGACTCGCTATGGCAAGGAGCTGTCCATGGTTAAGATCCCCAGTAAGGCATCTGCCAAGTATCTGGCTAAGAAATTCAACAAAACTGAGCAGTATATTGGGTGAGTATGACTTAGCGGTAGTAGTCGAACACACTAGTTTAGCGGTTGTCCATTTTTAAAATGTTATCCTTTTACACCAAGTACCGCCTCCCCGAAAGTAATAAGTTCTCGATATGCCACCATGAAGGCCAAAGTTAAAGTACAGTAGCTTAGTAGGCCTAAGTATTCATCAAAAATGTTTTTATTCCTAAAAAAAATAATTCACTATTTTTGTAGGAACATTAACACCGGGTTTAAATATGGCACTTTTAAAAAAGCTGTGCTCAAAAGGGGAGTTTGCAATCTGCCCTGAATTTTAAAAAATATTTGTTAAAACAGTCATTGTGATTTCACAGTAGAATGTGATGATTATGATCTGTGAAAAAAATTACTTACCCCTGCCCTGAGTGTGAAACCACACTCCCCAAGAAAATAAAACAACCAACTAGAGACCGAAGGCATGACTTACAATGTTTCAATCATTTGTTCATTTGCGATCATACTCTTCACTTGCAACCCCCCACCCCCGCTCTGTCTCGCAAAAAAAAAAAAACAGCAAACTTTAAATCGATATTATTTAGGTTTGTATTTTCGTGAATCCTGTGCGGCTCAGAGCGTAACTGCTCAGATGTTTTTACTCGTGTTGGTAATTTCACAGATGAGCGCAGGCTGATGGATCTGAGACAGAGACATAGTCTTTGCTCTGAGAGTGGTCACAGCTGACTTCAGTCATGACCAGTCAAAGCAGCTGCTCTGATTCCCTCGAAATGCAGCACGCTAGTCGCACAGTGGAGTCCCAACGTAGCGGAGCGCAGAGCTGGGCCTTGAGACCATCTTCCGATCGTTCGCTGTGGGATCCATCCATCCATTTTCCGATCCGCTTTATCCTCACATGGGTCGCAGGGGATGCTGGAGCTTATCCCAGCCATCTTCAGGCAGTAGGCGGGGTACCCCCTGAGCCGGTTGCCACCTCCTGCCCGAAGACAGCTGGGGTAGGCTCCAGCAGTCCCTGCGACCCTCATGAGGATAAGTGGATCGGAAAATGAATGAATGAATTTATCATAAGTACTTGTGGTAATTTTATTTAAATGTACTGTTCAAATGTTATTTAATGTATTTTAAATAATTCATTCACTAGTTTGATTGCTTTACACCCGGTACCTCTGCACTGTGAGGTCGATGTGTTAACCATTGGACCACCAGGCCGCCCTCCCTGTGGGATGATTTTCAAAATATAGTCATGATGATAACAATACCAATTGATTTGAGTCAGTAGGTTGGACATATTTATGAATGGAATACATCTGACGTCTACTCCACATGTCTACAGGGCTCTCTGTATCTGTCTGCCTGTGACTTGATCAAATTCACCAAAATCGCATTAGGGTTAGACTAGCTTTCTACCCTGCGCTGGCACTAAGACATTATCTGAGCAGGCCTAAATTCCAATTCATTTTGTGTCACCAAATTGTCACTCGGCAAAAAGTGCATCTCCAGTGACACCTCTGATGTAACGCTGGCACGCTCAGCTTGGTGGAGACCGTTCTGCCAAATTATGCGGTTTTGATTTTTGGGTGAAAATTGCAAACTCCCCCTTGAAATAATGAATGAAAATATATTGCGCCTAAAACTTAAATAAAAATCATACTTAAATAAATGTTTGAAAACAAACCATTCCTAAAGATGAAATACACATGTCAAGTACCTGCAATTCAGTTGGATTTAATTGCGATTTCATAAAACCGTTGCCTACAACTTAAAAAGTAAAATGTTTACTGCACAATGAAAAGTAAAAAGTGTACTGTGCTGGGTAAACAAAAATGGACAGTCTAACTGTAACTCAGATGGTCGAGTATGATACTTGCCTTATTTCACGGTATTGGGTACTCGTGAAGGATTCTGATACCAGCCACCGTTATGTGAGGCAAAAAAATAATCTGTCATCGACTAAGTCTTCCTCGTCAGTAATTGGTGCTACACTTTGGTCATTTGACTTCATGTACATCATAAAAGCCACAAAGGCCTTTGTTCAGAATAGGCTGTCATTTTCTTAATTAAAATGTTATGTATCATAAGTAAGGCGGCCCGGCGGACCAGTGGTTAGCGCGTCGACTTCACAGTGCAGAGGTACCAGGTTCAATTCCCGCTCCGGCCTCCCTGTGTGGAGTTTGCATGTTCTCCCCGGGCCTGCGCGGGTTTCTCCGGGTACTCCGGTTTACTCACACATTCCAAAAACATGCATGACAGGCTGATTGAACACTCCAAATTGTCCCTAGGTGTGAGTGTGAGTGCGGATGGTTGTTCGTCTCTGTGTGCCCTGCGATTGGCTGGCAACCGGCTCAGGGTGTCCCCTGCCTACTGCCCGAAGACAGCTGGGATAGGCACCAGCACCCCCGCGACACTCATGAGGATAAGTGGATCGGAAAATGAATGAATGTATCATAAGTACTTGTGGTAATTTTATTTAAATGTACTTTTAATTCATTCAAATGTTATTTAATGTATTTTAAGTAATTCATTCACTAGTTTGATTGCTTTACTTTGTTTTTGATTTTATGTATCAGTACTTGGTATGCTAAAATATTCAAGACTGAATACTTTTACATGTACTTATATCTGTCTGCAAAAGCAGCGTCGAATATCCTTAACGATAACATTAACTATGTTCACGGAAATATTAGATTTTTTTTTTTACGTCCTCAAAAAATCTGAGTAAAATGCATTTCACACAATACACATCCATAGCAACTGTATTTAAGTAAATATTTAAGAAACCCAACATTTCCTTAAAGACGAAATTCAAATGTTTTTAAAAGTTAGATACAACTGAACGAGAGAAAAAAAAGCGCTGGCTCGTTCTTAAGTGCCGTGTGTTGGGTTGCAAGATGACGTTTGAAACGTGATGTTTTCACGCATTCACTGCTTACAATTTCGCCACACACTACACAGAATACCACTAGAGGGAGCACCACTCGTACCACACATACCGCATTTTTGAGAATCACCGTACTTGATAGCCTGTTTTCTTCTTTCGAATGTGTGTATGCATGTTGAGTCTCCATCGTTCACCTTCAATGTAACAATAATGAAAGTGTACTACAGTGTGACATGATGTCGTGTTGGCTGTCGGTCAGGTGTACTTAAGCGTGTGCCGGTTGTACCCCTGTGTGACTTTTCCCCCCTCCAGAGAAAATATTTTGGTTTTGGACGTCTTCTTCGAAGCTCTGAATTACGAGAAGATCGAGCAGAAGAAGGCGTACGAAATTGCCGGGCTTCTCGGTAAGACTCTTGCCTGTGACCTTGGCTGAAAAGTCGAAGGACGCTTTGAGAGCCCTGCTCAGATTTCCTCTTGACGGATTCTCAATGAAAAGTGACATCTGTCCATGTCCGTTCATATCTCGTCTTCTAGGTGACATCGGAGGACAGATGGGTCTGTTTATAGGAGCCAGCGTGTTGACAATACTGGAAATATTCGACTACCTATATGAGGTAAAGTGACACCTAAATGAGTTTCACTCTGTAAAACAATAAAAGTAGGTGGCTACATTTCCAAACAGACCATAAAATAATACCGATGGGTATTAACTAGGAGTGGGACTACATATCACATCACATGGAGAGGAATTTGTTTTAATAAACCAAATGCCCAAAAATTGTCAACTGGAGACACATTGTGGAAAATTGACTTTTGAATCACTTGGAATACAAGCGGTTGTGTCTCTGGAGTGACTGCCTCCCCGTCAAGTGTGAAATTAAACAACCAAGTAAATCTTGTCTTATTTGCTGATATGGGTTAAATTGGCCAGTGCCGGCTTTGTGCAAGGCCATTCGTTCACAGTCTGGACGCTCAGGCACGAAGATCTTCTGCTCCAAAGGAGAGACTCAGAAAATTATGTGTGTGCCACATCAGGTTTTCATTAAAATAGAAAAATAATAAATAAATAATAATAATATATAAGGCATTTTTATATGTATTAATACTTTTGAATGAAGGGTTAGATTCAGCAACAGTTGGGTTGACTATCATTGTTGATAATTATGGTGAGAAATCTTTTAACATGACGAGTGGTCTTTTAAGTCACAGCTTCCACTGCAGCGGAGGCCATTATTTGAGGAAACTGGGCATTTACTGTATGTGTCTTGATCTCAAATGGAAAGCCCACAAAGCTCCCTTTCCCACTCAAAAAAATATCTCATAAACCTGATGTGCTGGAATAGGGCAGTCCTTCCCAAATAGTGGACCAGGCCCTCCATGTCTGACAAGGAACATGTTTTTCTTATTTTTTTTTTATTTATTTATTTTTTTTGGGCGCCATACTAGAATTAAGTGCAATTGCACTTCATCCGTTATAATAGGTGGCAGTGGCACTCTCATTTATATTATTATTGTTTACTTTCAAGCTAATTGATGCACTTCAAATACATGTATTAAAAAGTAGTAATACAGTTATTCTTTGTTGTAAGTTGATCTGTTATTCTTTCTTTCTATCTTTTGGTTTTCTTTTATCGTAGCAAGGATGACTGAACAGTATATTGGGTGAGTATGACTTAGCGGTAGTAGTCGAACACACTAGTTTAGCGGTTGTCCATTTCAAAAAATGTATTCTTTTACACCAAGTACAGTCTCCCCGAAAGTATTAAATTCTCGATATGCCACCATGAAGGCCAACGTTAAAGTACAGTTGCTTAGTAGGCCTAAGTATTCATCAAAAATGAGGCAGAGTTTTATTCCTGAAAAAAATAATTCACTATTTTTGTAGGAACATTAACACCGTGTTTAAATATAGCACTTTTAAAAAAGCTGTGCTCAAAAGGGAAGTTTGCAATCTGCCCTGAATTAAAAAAAAAAATTGTAATAATTTTGGTCCAAGAAACGACCACAGCGCTGTCAAAGTGACAACCTGGTAATTTATCATAATCTCTTTCAATGTAGTTGTTCACATTGAAAGAATGCAGGGGGGAGTTTACGAGACTCTTCTTCCTGGCGACAGGCATTAGCTTCATTTTATAGCTTTAATGCTCATTTTATAGCATTAACATGCACCTACCGCATTGTTAGACTCCAATCTTTATTCATATTGTACATGCAGTTTATTATTTGGGATGCAGTGCAGACTAATCTCCCTGATAGCAAGACATCAAATTTTATGGATTTAATACTAACCTCTGTGCAATTCAGTTTTAAATTACTGTACCTGTATCTTGAATATGAAGCTGTTTTGTTTTAAAATTAAATCGAGCGAGACTAGTTTGTGCCTATATAGAGTAATTTGCCAAAATACAACTTCATTCATCTAATTTATTTCATTGTTCCCCCTGTGCATCGGTTGCAAATAATACAAAGGACTGGATAACCTTCCCTGAGTGGCTCCTCAAATGTCAAAGCTTAAGTGAGTGGAAAACATTGCAAAGACTGTGAGTCATACTTTGGTACTGTAGTTAGGGAGATAATACGTACAGTGCTTTGAGCGAGCCGGTACGAAGCAGGACGGAGTATCACCACTTCTCAATTTTAGCCTCTAGTGTACCGGCCCTTTTTACGGCATACCAAGACTTCACATGAGCCCACAGCACCCTATTTTGTTACAGTACTTCGGGTAACTCCCCACCAAAAAAATGTTGCATTTTTTTTCCTGCCTCCAATAAGTTAACGAAACACGCCGCCAACGCAAAGGTGAACTACAAAATAAAAGATAATATCATTTAATGACACCAATGCAATGGCTTGAGAAAGCTCTTATTTTAAAATTGGCTAGCGATGGCTAGCTTGACTTGTCTTTTCGACATTTTGATTTGTTTTAGTTTTAAGTACCTTTATGTATTTGCTCGCAATATCAACACAATGCTATCCCGAAATCATATCCAGTCGCTATTTAAAACACTCAAGCACACTTTACAATCAAAACAAGAAAACACTTTTACATGTACTCGTATCTGTCTGCAAAAGCAGCGTCGAATATCCTTAACGATAACATTAACTATGTTAAGGAAATATTTGATTTTTTTTTTTTAATGTCCTCAAAAAAATCTTGAGTAAAATGCATTTCACACAATACACAACCACAGCAACTGTATTTAAGTAAATATTTAAGAAACCCAACATTTCCTTAAAGATGAAATGCAAATGTATTTAAAAGTTAGATACAACGGAACGAGAGAAAAAAAATGCGCTGGCTCGTTCTTAAGTGCCGTGTGTTGGGTTGCAAGATGACGTTTGAAACATGACGTTTTCACGCATTCACTGCTTACAATTTCGCCACGCACTACACAGAATACCACTAGAGGGAGCACCACTCATGCCGCACTTGATAGCCTGTGTTCTTCTTTCGAATGTGTGTATGCATGTTGAGTCTCCATCGTTCACCTTCAATGTAACAATAATGAAAGTGTACTACAGTGTGACATGATGTCGTGTTGGCTGTCGGTCAGGTGGACTTAAGCGTGTGCCGGTTGTACCCCTGTGTGACTTTTCCCCCCTCCAGAGAAAATATTTTGGTTTTGGACATCTTCTTCGAAGCTCTGAATTACGAGAAGATCGAGCAGAAGAAGGCGTACGAAATTGCCGGGCTTCTCGGTAAGACTCTTGCCTGCGACCTTGGCTGGAAAGTCGAAGGACGCTTTGAGAGCCCTGCTCAGATTTCCTCTTGACGGATTCTCAATGAGAAGTGACATCTCTGTCCATGTCCTTTCATATCTCGTCTTCTAGGTGACATCGGAGGACAGATGGGTCTGTTTATAGGAGCCAGCGTGTTGACAATACTGGAAATATTCGACTACCTATATGAGGTAAAGTGACACC